CCCTTCTTGAAGACTGGAGGCTATGATTTAGGTGTTGCTCCTTTCCTGGGCAGGCTAAGAAATGGATGTTTGGGAGAGACAGTCTGTACTGTGTGGTGGGGTTTTTTGAGTTGGGTCAGCCTTTTCTTTCAGTGAGGCTGCCAGGTTTGCTTTCCAGAAGCATGGATTGATTGTGTTCCAATTAAGTAAAATATCTTGAATTATGATGGCTTTCACCAGCAACCAGGAATTCACAGTGCAGCTTTATTAGAAGTCAGACTCTTGCCAGTGATACATGGTTTCATTTGTTGACATGTTTTCTGTTAAGGCAATTCCTACTGATGTCTAGTTTTCTGCAAATTGCAATGCCATCACCTTACAAAAATTGGTGCTTTCATCTGCGAGTGTGATTGGATTAATTGAATTGCTGCACAAAATAATTTTGTGGCTTGTTTTGCAGCTATGGTGGTAGAATAATAATCTCATTTTGCTTCTGAGATAGAAAAAGTGTAGCGCAGCATGCCTTGTGATTGTTTACACCATTATGTTCAGTGCCTTTTGCTTGGTACAACTAGTGAATTATATCGGATTGGGGAGGGTGTCCTCAGCAACATCTGTCAGTAGACAATTGTGTTCTGTCTGTAACTTGGTCACACTGTGTTCCACGCTTCTGCTCTGACATGAAAGCTGGAAGTGTTCATGGGTCATTGTGGATGAACAACTTCTATTGCTTCAGTTGACTGGTGAAGCTGTGGACTTTCCCCGATAGAAATCTGGAGCTTTTCTTCAAGGAACTAGGACAGCAGCATGCTCTTGATACACTTGGTATCTTTTTAGCTACAGCCATCCAGCTCGTTCCCAAGCTGGACTGGAGACCTGCCATGTGTTTAATGAGATAAGATTGACAGTGAAAATTACAGTACTAGGGACAATTAAACTGATGCAAGCATGATTATGAGATTCAGATGTTTCTTTAGGAAAGCTCCAGGATGTACAAACCAGCAGGAGTCAGTTTTCATGTCTTCTAGAGTGTGGGGATATATTTAAGAAATTAATCTCTGAGGTGTCTTTTGTGTCTTGGGTTGGAGGGGAACCCAGCTGCTGTTTCCTTTCTCCTCTTGTTTTTTGCCTGTCCTTAGGATCTTTTGGTGATCTTCTTGTGGTCTGAAGGACAAATGAAAGGGCCAGAAAGTAGCAACAAAACTGATTACAGTTTTAGTAGAAATCATCTTAGTTTGCAAAGTTGATTCATGAATGCATGGTAATGGAGTTACCATTTGGGCTTGTATTTTCTCCTTCAACAAGTTAAGAACTGAAGTCTTCCAGACCTATGGGGAGAGTGTCAGTTGGCTGGAGGGGTTTCCATGCGTAATTAAAAAAAAAAAAAACAAAAAAAAAACACCAATGTCTAAAAATGTCTGTGTTCTCAGCTTTCTGCCCGAAGCAAGAATGGAAGAAGCTAGAATAAAAGGGATAATGCCAGTGCAGGATACAACTGCAAGGAAAAAGTCTAAAGTTTTAGTCTGCCTCATCTACTTCTCTACTTTCGAACTGCTTCTTCTGATCTACAACTGCTGTCACACCTCTTTTGAAAGAGCTCACTGATGCTAGCAAACTGGCAGCCTACCTAGGGACTTACACTGTTTTCTCTAGAGAAAGAATGATACTTCCTGGTTAGATGTCTGTTAACCTGCAACTTTGCTGTCTTGAATTGTCCATATGTAGTTTTCCTTATTTCTTCTCCAACAGGTTGGCAGTGAGGTAGGAGCTCTGAATTTGCAAGTTTGTGCTCTGTTTAAAGAGCTTCAAGAAGCCCATGAGAAGTTAAAAGAAGCAGAATTGATTCAGAAGAAGCTTCAAGAAAAGTAAGGTTCAGAAAAACAGAAGTTCTTCTGTGACACCCAGTATATGTTTATTTGTATGACAGCTCCCACCTTGGGAAACTCACCAGCTCTGCAAATATCAGCTTAAATATCTGTTTCATAGAAATGCTGTAAAAGATTTCTCTTTCTTTGTAAGTGGAGATGAAAGTACAGAAATACAGTAATTGTCAGAAAATCTGAGCTGCCAACCTAGTTCTACAAATAGAGCCCCAGTGCCTTGAATTTTAAGATTTGGGTTTCAACCCTTCATGATGTAAAGGCTAATCTTTCCTGTTTTCTGCTTCATGTAATCAAAACCTGTTCTAGTCTTAGGGGAAGAAGCTAAGTAACCTACTTATGTCCCTTTTCACATGAACTGTCTGTGCTTTTGAAGACCAATTGCACAGGTTGTAAAAGTGGCTACAAGACCCTCACTTCAGTTGCTTAGTTTTCTGTCAAATTCTAGTTCTTTGACATTCATAATAGTAAGAAAGTGTTGGTTTCAGTAACTTTGTTTTCTGATGGTTGTGTATACATTCATTTTTATTCTTCCTTGTTCTTCATCAAAATAATTGTTTAAAATGAACCATACAAAGATTCTTCTTGTATTGTGCGTAGTGTGCCAAATCCATCAGAAAAAGGTGAGCAGGAGAGATCAAACCTTTTTCCTTGTTCTGTCAGGTGCCAAGTCCTGGAAAGAAGAAGCTCAGCTGCTGCATCAGAATTGGAGGAGAAACAGCAGCTAATATACACCATCAAGAAGCTGGAACTTCAGGTGGAGAGCATGCAGGCAGAGGTCAAGCTGGAACAAGCCAAGACACATGAAGAAAAGTGAGTATGACTTGGTTTTATATTCCAGGGAGGTATTGTTAGTGAGGAAGGGAAGTCCAAGGGAACCTGGCCAAAGGCGAATTGAATCTGAAATACAAGTTTTGTGTTCTGCACCCTTTGAATCCATGTATGTTTGTAGAGTCTGAACTAGAAACCTGCATTCACCTCAGCATCTATGTCACTTTGAATCTGGAGTGTCCACATTAGGCCCAAACTGTATCCTTTCATCTAGTGAGCCCCTCACTTAGGAAAATTTGAGCTGTAAGCTCTGACTTGTATCATCCTTTTGTCGCAAAGTCAAAGGTGGAATAAGGTCAGGTATAAAATATAAGCGGAGAAAGCAGAAAAGTGACAACAGCTATCCCACTGACTAGCAGGGGTATGTGTGTCCACAGGTTGGAGGGTAGGCACAAGTCAGGTGGTGACAGTGATAAGAAAGTGACATTAATGAAGAGGTCTACAGTTCCTACAATACTTTTGCAACTGGGAGAGGTAAGTGTGCAGTGAAGCTGAAGTAAAGAGACACACTATTTGCTCTGCCTCCCTGCTCCCTTTCATGTGCAGTCCATGTAAGGAATGTGAAAATGTCAGTCCAAGCTGTACAGAGAGGCTGAACTGCCTGAAGGTCCTGGCTTAAGCGGCTGGAGAAGCTGCTTGTTATCTTTGGAGTCTGTGTCTAGTTCTTCCTCTGATGAATTCTCTTTCACTTGAGGTCTCACGACTTGGATGTCTTCCTAAGAGAGGTGTTAAATTTTGAACAGAATTTGTGAGCTTGATATAAAAATATTGGGTGATGGATTCTTCAGTCTGAAATGCAGATGATCAGTAAGGACATTTGTTTGGACTCAGTCCATGGATAGTTGCAGCACACAACTCACTGGAAGAGTGATGGAGCATCATCATTTCTGATGATTTTTTCTCATCAGAAATGCAGGTTCATTTGCAAGGAGCTGGTGGTGGCTTTTTTCTAAATACTAACAGATCATTTAGGTTTCAAAGAATTTTTAAGTGTTACAAACTTTCACCTCTTTTCTTGTCATAAACAGGGCAAGATATAGTAGCTTGCAGGATGCATGCAGCAAGCTCCTTTCACAACTCACTGAGGCAATGAAAACAATCGATGAAATGAAACTCAAAGAGGTAAACTCTACGTAAGAAGAAATCATAGTTAATTAGGGGGGAGCGGGAAGGGATGAGAGAACAAATTTGGGCAGGAAACAATTGTCTTCCCTTCCACATAATAGAGCATGCAACATACCAGCATTGCTCTCATAAACATAGATCCTGTGCTGCCAGTTATAGAAAACTTCATCCACAGATCAGTACTTCCGTGGTGTTTTCTAGATAAGGTCTAATCTGCGGTGCAGTATGGAATCCAGTCCTTGAAGACCAGTGATATGCAAAGGCATATAGGTGTTCCTGCAGCATAATTTATAAATGTGGAAAGGTAGACCTCTAAACATCTTTGTAATCTTAAATAGAATGCCTGCCGCAGTGAGGTCTTGTTTGTAACTGAGGCTCCATGGAAGTGACAGATTCTTCTGTAAAATTTTGGAAAATTCCTTTGCAGTGTCCATTAGGGAGTTCTTTTTTGCCTTGATGCACTGTAGCTTGAAAGCTCAAAACTAATCTTTAAATTAAAATATCAGTCTTAGTCCAAGTTCCTTTGATGACCAAAAATGGAAGCTTTTCCAAGGGCAGGAGGAGTAAGAAGCAAACTTTTACTTTGAATTCATCTCATAATCATGGTTCTTCCTTGCAGCTGGACAGAGTGGATAAAGTTGTGGTGGAACAACTGAATGCAAAGGTGGAGCTGGCAGAACAAGCACTTGCTGCAAAGCAGCTCCAGATAGATGAAATGAAGCAGAAAATTGCTAAGCAAGAGGAGGACCTTGAAACCATGGCTGTGCTCCGTGCTCAGGTATCTCTTCTTCAGAAACTGGCTGGTTGCACCACCTGATATCCAGAAACCAGAAGGAGCTACTTAATGGCTTACTCTGGAATACTGAATTATTTGTTTCTTCAATTCCAAAGCATAATTCCCTTGCTCAGCCTGCCTTGCAGATCCTTCCAGAGCCTTTACCACCGAATCCTAGGGCTCTGTAGGAGGAAATGTGTGTGCTGGAGTTTGGCACAACAAACAAAAGCTGAGAATAGATGTGTTTGCGTTTTTAAAACCACTGTCTGAAGAATCACTGCATATGCTTTAGGGATGATTTTATTCAAACCAGTGTGTGTAAACAGTGACTAAAAAAGGTTTGCCTCACATTTAAGGCAGAAAACTGGCATCTTGGCCTGGTTCCACTGTGTGTGCGCCACAGATTTGTCTACGTCATCAGTCAAGTCACCTTCTCTTTGCTTGTCTGTGCATCATTTCTGCCTCTGTACAGCAGAGGGCAATAGCACTGTCCCAAATAAGACACTTGAAGTATCTTACACAGAATCCAGAAACTACTGAGTCTTCACCTTGTAATTAGTGCAGCTCTTCGCTTTGCAGCATATAGGTGCTGTAGGAGTGTTTGAAGTAGATGCAGGCTATGATACAGATTGGCTCTTTTGGCATATAGCATATGACTGTGGTTCAGTCTAAGTTACTAATTCTCAGCATGATTTCATTTCTGTGATCAGATGGAAGTTTATCGTTCTGATTTCCATGCTGAGAGAGCAGCAAGAGAGAAGATCCATGAGGAGAAGGAGCAGTTGGCTGTCCAGCTGGCATACCTGCTAAAAGAGCAGGAAAACCTTGAAGATCTTGACCGGTGAGAACAGACTTTTCACTGAGCTGCCTTTGGAATGTTTTGTTACCCTGTGCGCGGGAGCTGACCAACATTGTCTTGCTAGCATCTCAGCAGAAAGGCAAACAACAGGCAAACAACTTGGTAGACATTTATTTCTTGGTTAATTTGAATTTTAAAAGAGAAAAAATTAGTTGGCTGACTTCTCATTTCAATTTTGTGATAGAATCTCTGTAAGGTGTATTAGTTCTTACTTGGGTGCCTTAGCAAGTTTTCACTTTGGATGATTCATACTTAGTAAATTGTCCCTGCTGATTCATTTGAGTTTCTTTGAGTTCTGGCCTCCGTTTGAGTGGTGAATCTGCAGCTAAGCCTCTGTTGTGTGTGCCAGGGATATCTGCTGCTTCTCCAAGTGGCAGTGGTAAGTGAGTACCCGTAGTTCCAAGTACTGTGATACCCTGGAATTGCACCATTGTAGCACTTTTAGCTGTGAAAGAGAAAAAATAAATATTAACTATTTGTCCTCCACTCATCTTGTGGAAGCCATGGGTACAAGAAGAGTGCCCAGAATTTTCAGAATCAAGTTACGTTTCACATGAACTGTGCACAGAACCCTTCTTCTGGTATAACTTGCTTTTCTACTTCAATCAAATTTGCAGCTTGCCCTGAATAGCTCAGAGTCCTCGGAGTTTTCCAGAGGAACATGCAGCAGATCCCTAGGTGTGTAGCTGCCCAAATCCTGCTCGTGTCAATT